TTAAGAGGGATGTTGATTGCTGTGAATGCTCATATTAGAAAAACAGAGTGAGGAAATAAATAAAAATAAATAACCTAATAATATACCTCAAAATACTAGAAAATCAAGAACAATCCAAATCCAAATCTAGTACAAGGAAGGAAATCATAAAGATCAGAGCAGAAATTAATGAAATAGAGGCAAAACAAACAAACAAAGAACAGCAGAATGAACTGAATGAGAATCAATGAATTGAAGAGCTGGGTCTTTGAAAGAATAAACAAAATAGAAAAACATGTAGCCAAACTTACCAAAAAGAAGGAAAGAAAAGAGCCATATCAATACAATTACAAGGCAAAAGTGCAAAATCACAACAGACTTTGCTGAAATCCAGAAGATCATTAGTAAGTAACTATTATGAAAAATTGTATTCCAACTAATCACAGAATCTTGAAGAAATGGACAGATCCCTAGACATATATGACTTACGAAAACTGAACCATGAAGACATAAAAATTCGGAACTATCCAATAACAGGCAATGATATTGAGGCAATAATAAAAAAACCCTGTGAATTAAAAAAAGCCCTGTTGGATTCATTGCTACCACAGCAATGAGTTCTACCAGAATTTAAGGGAAGATACAATGCCTATACTCCCAAAACTATTTAGTGAAACTGAAAGGGAAGAAGTACTGCCTAACTTATTCCTGGAAGTTAGCATTACACTGATTTCAAAACCAGACAAAGACCCAACTTACAAAAGAAAACTGTAGGCCAATCTCTTTAATGAACATAGTCATAAAAATTCTCAACAAGATATGGCAGAGGGAATGCAATAAATCATCAAAAAGATCACACATCATGACCAAGTAGGCTTCATCCCAGGGATGCAAGGATGATTCAATATATGCAAATAATAAATGTAACATACCACACAAACAGAAGCAAGGGCAAAAATCACATGATTATCTTGATAGATTCAGAAAAAGCCTTCGAAAAATCCAACATCCAATCATGATAAAAACCCTGAAGAAAATAGGTATAGAAGAACTTTATCTCAACCTGATAAAAGCCATTTTTGATAAACCTACTGAGAATATCATATTAAATGAGGAAAAGCTGAGATTTCCCTCTAAAATAGGGAACAAGGCAAAGATTTCCACTCTTACCACTCCTATTCAATACAATACTAAAAGCTTTAACCACAGCAATCAGGCAAGAGAAAAAATAAAAAGGATAAGTACAGTGAAGCCTTGAGTTACAACTGGCCAACAACTTGGGTTACGACCAGTATTTTAGTTTTAACTTATGAACAAAGTCTTAAATTGTGCTTCCAGATGGTCTCAGATACAGATTTAAAGAGTTCTGGAAGGAACATTACAACATCCTTTTCTGTGTGGGGTTAATTGAGAAATCCTGGGTCAGTGTCTCTCTAAGTACACTGAGATCTGCCTGTGTACAGGAGAGAGACTTTGAAGGCTGTGTAGTGGAGCCTGAGCCTTCAATTGACCAACTTGAGTTGCAACCAGCCCTCAGGAATGAATTGAGTTCATAAGTCAAGCATTCACTATATAGGAAATAAAAAGCTCAAATTATTATCATTTGCAGATGACATCATTTTCTACATAGAAGATCCAAAAATTTCCACCAAAAGACTCCTAGAACTAATAAACAAGTTCAGCAATGTAGCAGGATACAAAATCAACACACAGGGCTGGGCATTTAGCTCGGTGGTTCCATCACCTGCTTCGCAGGGGAAAGGTCCCAAGTTCGATCTCCAGTACCAAAAAACAAAAACAAAACAAAAACAAACAAAAAATCAACAAACAAAAATCAATAGTGAACCTAATGAGAAAGAAATTAGGAAAACACTATCATTTATAATAATATTAAGAAAAATGAAATACTTAGGAATTAACCTAACCAAGGAAATGAAAAGCTTCTATAGTAAAATCTGTAGTGCTCTGAAAAAGGAGATTGAAGAAGACATCAGAAAATGGAAAGATATATCTTGTTCCTGGATAGGCAAAACCATCATTGTCAAAATCATCAAATTATCAAAATTGATATATAGATTTAATGTAATCCTAATCAAAATACCAAAATCATTCCATACAGAACTAGAAAAAATTATTCTAATTTTATATGGAACCAGAAAAAGGTCACAATAGCAAAAGAAATTCTGGTCAACAAAAAGAAAGGAGAAGGCACCACAATCCTGGATTTCAATGTATACTACAAAGCTACAGTGTTAAAAACAGCATGGTATTGGCACTAAAATAGACATGAGAATCAGTGAAACTGAAAAGAAGATGAAGAAACATTTCCAGGCACATTAATCCATCTAACCTTTGTCAAAGGGACCACAAACATATGCTGGAGGAAAGATAGCCTCTTTAACAAATGGTGCTGGGAAAACTGGTTATATACATGCAGGAGATTGATTCTAGATCCATATCTATCAGCAGGCAACAAAATAAAATAAAAATGGATCAAAGACATAGATATTAAAACAGATATCTATATATATGCTAGAAGATAAAATAGATAAAACTTTTGAAGGCACAGGAAAGGACTTTCTTTTTTTTTTTGGTACTGGGGATCAAACTCGGGACCTTGTGCTTGAGAGGCAGGCAGCAGAACCACTGAGCTAAATCCCCAGCTATGGAAAGAACTTTCTAAACAGAACACCAATTGCATAAGAAATAACATCAAGAATTAACAAATGAGACTATATCAAATTAAAAAGCTTCTGCAAAGCAAAGGAAATAATCAACAGAGTGAAAAGACAACCTACGGAATGGGACAATATTTTTGCCAGCTACTTCTCTAATATCTCGAATTTATAAAGAACTAACAAAAAAAAAATCACACCTCCCCAAATAAAAGAACCAATTAAAAAAATGGGCAATTGGGCTGAGGATTTAGCTCAGTGGCACCGTACCTGCTTCACAAGCACAAGGTCCTGAGTTTGATCCCTGGTACAAAAAAAAAAAAAAAAAAAGAAAAGAAAAGAAAGAAAAGAGCAACTGAAATGACACCTTTCAGAAGTAAAAATGACCAATACATACATAAAAAATGTTCAACATCTATGGCCTTCAGAGAAATGCAAATTAAAACAATATCCAGATTCTATCTTACTCCAGAATGACTATCATCAAGAAAACAAATAATAGCAAGTGGTAGCAAGGTTGTAAGGAAAAAGGAACACTTCTGCTTTGTTAGTGGGATTGTAAATTGATACAACCACTATGGAAATCAGTATGGAGATTTCTCAAAAAGCTAAAAATAGAAATTACATTCTACCTAGCTATTCCCCTTCTTGATGGCAGGGTTAAAGACATACATAGTAATACATGCATACCCATGTTTATAGCAGCCCAAGTCATAATAGCTAAAGCTTGGAAGCAGATAATCAACAGATGAATGAAGAAAATGTGGTATTTATACACAATGGAGTACTACTCTGCCATAAAGAAGGATAAAATTGAGTCATTTTTAGGAAAATGGACAATAACGAGACAATAATGTTCAATGAAACAAATCAGACACAAGCTTAAATATCACATGACTTCTCTTATATGAGAAACTCAAAGTATAAATAATTAAAAAAAAGTGGTACCTTGGTGCATGAACTCATTCTTTCCATGATTCTGGCCACAAATTGAATTGGATGAGAACCAAATCAAATTTCCCCATAAGGTCAACATTGAACTTAACCACTGAATTTGATTTGGTTTTCGTCCAACTCGGTTTGCAACCAGAATCATGGAAAGAATCCAGTTTGTGAACTGAGTTACCACTGTAATAGGAAGTAGAGAGGTAGATCTTTTTTTAAATAGGAAAGGGATTCAGAGATAAAGGGAGAGGTGCATGAGGGGAGGGGAAGAGGAATAAAAATAATTAAGATATGTTAATACATATGCCTACCCCATAAGATAAATGTGAACGTTATGTATTGCAAACATGTACTAATAAAATATTTTTTAAAAGAGAAGAAGTAATGGAGAAGCAATAAAAAGGAGGTGGTCACCCCTGTTGCGCAAGCGCAAGGACCCGAGTTCGGTCCCCGGTACCAAAAAAAAAAAAAAAAAAGGAGGTGGTGAGATAGGGGAGGTAAGAAGGGAAGGAAGGAAAGGACTCACACTATGTAAAAAATAGAGAAAGAACCCAGATGAGACACAGCATATCTCAAGATAGGAGGTAAAACTTTTTCATATTTTGCATCACAAACCTTAATACGTCATTAAATTCAACACAATAAAATCTCAGAGCCTTAATAACAGACAAAATAAAATGAAAATGCAGATTACAGAGCTATAGAAATTGAATTAAGTGGGCTGCTGATTTAGCTCAGTGGCAATGTGCCTGCCTCTAAAGCACAAGGTCCTGAGTTTGATTCCTGATACAACAAAAAGAAAGAAATTAAGAACCTCGTCCGTTTATTATTCTAGGCTTCTACACTGCTAAACAAAATTGAACTGAATTGGAAAAAAGTGGACAATTGTTAGTAAGACCAGTCCATGTTAGCTGTTGTGCCAACAAACTGATAGGAATTATGTAAATTTGACCAACAAAATCCCAAGACTACCAAATCAAGAAGATTGAGATCATTCATGTACTCTATTTCTTATATGTGTGTGTGACCTTAGTTGTATCTATTTAATCAGCAAAAGTAAGTTAACATTCCCTACTTTGGCAAGATTGTTGTGAATATTAAATGAGGTGATATTTGTAATAGGCTGAGAACAATTGTAACTTGATAAATAGCATCTATTATTATTTGGATTTTACAAAAGTAAAATAGCACTGAAATTGAGAATGAGAATGTAGTGTGGTGAATCTACAGTTTCCCTTCTTCAGGCTGTTCATAGGATCTTTTTTTGTAGATTCTACAAATTCACCATCCCTAATAGGTTTGAGGTCACAGGACTAGTTGATTAATAAGACACGTATTTCATATGTCTTCTAATCCCTAGTCTTCATGTAGTGCTTACATCAATAAAAGTAAATTTCTTACCTGCCTTCGTCAGGTAAACCTTTCCACTTTGGGAAACAAAAGTAACATCTGAAGTATAAAAACAATGATAAATCTTCTTTATTATGTCACCATGAAAGTCAGCTATTAATTTAAAAGTGTTGCCGCCATCCATTGAAAGCCATACCTAAGGGAATAAAGAGATAATATCTCCCTAGAGAGCTCTCACAGACAGTCAGTAATTACCTATCAGCCTAATCTTCCTACAGAAGAAAAGTCATGTGGAATGATCTTTCTTGTATCCTCCACATCTATTAGACATATGCACACACAGGTGCACAGACTTCTTGCCTGTTTGGTCTACCCTAAATGTATTTCCTTTCTAGAGTCTGTTGTAGTGCTTGTGGCCAAATATCATGTATGTCCAGTATGCTTGGTGAAGGTATAAAAGAACAAAGTTATTTCCATCATTTCCCAAAATGGAGTTCCATTGTTCATAAAAGGATGGAATGCTGGTGTTGTGGCTTGTGTCTAGAGGTCCTGCCAAAGTCTCATGTGGTCATAGGTGGGGCTTTTTCAGAGGAGGCAGGATCTAGAGTGTGTGATGCTGGAATTGATTCATGGTGCAGTGCTAGAGTCAAGGGCACTAGGATTAAGGGTATGAGTGCTACCTGCCCTATGTAGCCTGGATAAGATATAAGGGATAGAAAAAGCTGTGGTTGTCCTTTGTTACTTTGTTACCTTCTGCCTGCCATGAACTGTTTCTCTTTTGTGATGCTTGTCTGCCACCCTGCCTTGGAGCCAGCTGACTATGGACCGAAACCTCTACAAACTGTAAGCCAAATAAATATTTCTCTCCTTAACTTTGGGTGTTGGGTATTTTATCTCAGCAACAAGAGAAAAGTAACTAAGACAGTTGGGTATATTTAGTTATGTTGGAGGGAGTTTATTCCACATTGACATAAAAGTTCATGTTGTAGGCATGTGGCAATGTGGTCTATTTTGGTGAATGTTCCATGTAAGGTTAGGAAGGATTTGTACTTTTCTGTTATTGGATAAAGTAGCCTATAACTGTCCATTACATGTGCTTGACTGATGGTGTTGTTGAATTCAATATATCCTTATTGATTTTCCACCTGCTATACCTGTCCTTTTCTGATAGAGGGGTGTTGATGTCTCCAGATGTAACAGTGTCATATATTTCTCCTTACAGCTCTATCAACTTTTGCTTGTTTTGAGACAGGGACTTGCTATGCAGTCCAGGCTGGCCTGGACTCACTATGTAGCTCAGCCTGGCCTTGAATTCATAGCAATCCTACCTCAAAAGCCTTCTGAGTACTGGATTACAAGCATGAACCAACAAACTTTCTCTATTGAATAATTCTCATCAACACACAACATAATTACTCCTACATTTCTATAAAAAACCTAGTCTCTTGAGACTTTTCCTCTCTTTAAACATCACCCCATTTTACTGCTTCACTCTTCAGCAAAACTTTGTAAAATGTTTGTTTATATTAACTGTGTCTTAATTCTTGTCCTACCATATTCTCATCAGGCTTTCCACCTCCCTGATCTCCAGAATGACTTTGTTCTTTAATTAGGAGGAAGTGGACAACTTACACCTTTACTAGAGTGTGAAATCTTATGTGAATGCACCTGATTGTCATAAGCAATCATAAGCATCAGTTTACTGAAATAGCTGGTTTTTTTGGTAACGGGGATTGAACTTGGAATGTTGTGCTTGCAAAACAGGTGGTGGAACCACTGAGCTGAATCCCCAGCCCTGAAATAGCTGTTTTTAATGTCAACAATGAGCTCCTCAGGACTTTCTTAGGAAGTGGCAGCAGATAGATTCTTATACTTAACAATATCTGCCAGAAATCATTATAGCATCTAATGAGTCATAATTAAAAGGTGTTTGCTTGCTATGTTAAAAAGGCTCTTGGTAAATCTCAATAGAGTCTATACCCATATTTTTCTTCTATGCCCTTATAGGCAATTTTCAAAGCAATGAATATAATTAATGAGACTTCTACTAGTATTACATTAATTACAGATACCTAAACTATTCATAAAAACATAAGGTGAACACTGAAGTTAAATACAGACCATAAGCCAATTGGAATAGTACAACAGCATCATTTATTCCCAACCCCTGAGCATTCTTATGGTAACATTACCTTAGATTTTATTTTGTAGTCATACTTGCCTTCAAAATGCACAAAATATTCTTATTATAGTTTATGTCCTCATCTAAATGGACCAATAGTGTCAATTCTACCAGACTCTTATCAGTCTCAGTTATTGTTCATCTCTTTTCACAAGTTTTTCTCATCCCTGACATTCAACTATTCATCTCATTTCTTAGCCTTAACTTAAATTCTGAAGTCTTTTAAATTCACCTTTATTTATTTTCCACAGCAAAAACACACATGAATGAAATTTTTAGACATGTAACACACTAGCAGTATTTCTGATCTACATACTTTTTAACCATTAAATTAAAGAACAGTAATTACTTGCTCAACCATTAGTTTTCATTTGATGGACCCTAAGAATTCCAGAATAGAAGACAATGAAGTAGCCACTTTGAAAAAAAAAAGACAGCAAAGTGTTAAATAAAGTCTTAGAAATCTACTACTAGTGTGGAAATTCAGAGAAAAGCATGAGATGGAGACTGGGAGAATTGTATGCCTAGCAATATCATTTAATTGCCTGTTACTTATGAAAAGCAACATGGTCAGGGAAGATTATAAATTGGATTCTTCATTGTCATGGTTTATATCCAGATGTTATAGCTTATATCTAGAGGTCCCCTCAAAGCCTCTTGCACTCATAGGTGGGGGTTTTCAGAACTGGCTGGATCTAGTGAATGTGATATTGGGGTTAAGGGTGCATAGCACTAAATTAATTCACTGATTAATTTAGCAGAGTTCAGGGTGTGGATAATGGAAACCCCACCCTGGGTGTGGGTGGGGCAATCAATAGGTTTATAGCCTGGATGGAATATAAAGAGAGAAAGGGAAGGCAGGCTTGCTGCTGGTTGCTGCTTTGGTGCTTCCTGCCTGCCTTGCTGTTGTCTATTTCTCCTGTGCCATGTCCCTGTGCCATGCTGCCCTGCCTTGGAGCCAGATGACTGTGGACGGAAACCTTTACAAACTGAGCTAAAATAAAACTGTCTTTAAATTGTGGATGATGGGCATTTTGGCTCCACAACAAGAGTTGTAACTAAGACACTCAGATAACTAAGACACTCATAGAAGTGAATTAAACTTCAAAGGCCAAAGGAGAAATCAAGGGTTCTAAACAATGAGTATAAAAACTAAAAAAGGAAGGGAGCTTTAAGCAGACCTAGAAAGATAGCATCATCTATAAAAATCCCTAAATTGTGTAAGTAATAGGTACTTTAAACCATGAGAGTAAAATAAAAAAGGCAGTTTTTATTCTAGTACAGAATATATTTGCAAATCACAAGACAAACGAAGTGTAAGAAGAACTGGGTAAAAAGGACTGGGTTTGAAGAAACATTGAGGTATAAGTACAGTACTATGTTTCCAACAATTTTTTATTGGCTTTGTTAGTTACCCAATTTGTTTTGAATGTATTTAGAACAGTGGTGAAAGTTTTTCCAGACATTGGACTGTATATGTTTGCTAGCTAGCTAGAGGGCCTTTCAAGGAGTTATCAGTAAGGAATAAATCTTTTGAGATAGTTAGCAAGTCAGCAGAAGTTGTAGAATTGGAAACTGTCAAAATCTGCAGTTGGGAAGATATGTATTACAACTGGCAAAATTTGGAACTGGTGTTGCATAGCTTATTTTTATCAGCCATTGAACTAACTGAAAGGTTAAAAACTGCCATTGTCTTCTCTCCCACTTCCTCCTCCCACTTCCAACTCCCAATTATTAGAGCAGGTCTGTTCTTTAGAGAGTAAGGAGATGATTAACCCCCTACCACAGGGCGAAATTTCATGTGTACACACCTGATTGCCATAAGCATATAGAAAGTGGCTTCGGGGATGAAACACCATTCCAACGGGGTGAGAGAACGAGGAAGGAAAATGGAACGGCGGGAATTTTGGTGTGACACTTGGTTGGTTGTTTTTTAAGATGCTCACAGAGGCTGTGGTAGTTTTCTTGTGCTGGATAAACAAAGCGTGAGAAAGTCATAAGAATTTTTTAATTCTTACTAGTCCATGCTACAATTTTTAGACTTTCTTGTTACTTGGCTTTTAGATCAGATTAGGGAGTCACTTATTAACATAGCACAGAAATGGGAGGATTAGCAATCACTGATATCTCTTTACTCCCCTGCCAGGACCATCACCCATTTTATAGATTTTGAAATGAAGTTTAGAGGACTAAATAATTTTTCCAGAGTTTTATAATAAATGGCACAGACATTTATTATAGAATTATTACTGAATTCAGCAGCAGATTCCAAAGTTCATGTTCATAACTATTATGGCAAAAGTATGGATGCTTCATCCACATCACAATTTGTCATGAAGGATCAGAACATGACATCCCCAAATATGCCACTCTGGTATAAAGATAATTTTAAAGCTAAAGACTTTTGAGATTCAGCTGATGCAGTAAACGTGCTTTCTCAAAGCTTGCCTTATATGGAACTTCTGGGAACAGAGATTACCACAGATTTCTTTTCAGTGCAGATCTGCTCCCAGAAAAGAGACTAAAATAAAAAAAAACCCCTTGAATCTCTTCTCCAGGGGAGTATTATGGACATGAGGGACGTATTGTACCTACATGGACAAACATTATCACCTTTTTTAAAGGACCTTAGGAATAGAAAATATAGTTCTATGTCAATGGGTTCTCTTTTTTCTGTTCATTGTAACTAGCTATTGAATTTATGGAACATTAAATTTATATGAAAAAGTTTCAGCTTATATTCTCCCGGAGAACTATTAGCAAAGGACAATCATTGTACAACCAGCATCGCACTTTCCATTTTCATCAAACTTAGTGACAATCAGAGGTGACAAATCTTTAAATGATTGTTATATTATTAATCATAAATAATTTGGCTGTAGCCTATTTTGTCAGGTTCTATTGCCAAAGATAACAGGAATTTGGAAGTAATTTTAGCTTAGTTAAATCTGCATTATTAGAATGTGAAGAGTAATCAGCTCTGGGTTATAAAACCTACCTGGTCATAGAAGAGGTAAATTCCCGTATTATGCTCTTGGTCAATAAGAAATGTTATCTCACTTGGAAGTGTATTTTTTACATCATCGAAAACATGAGGTAAGCAAGATAACCACTCAAGAAATGGTTCTTTACTATAAAAACAAGAGCTTGCCTAGAAAAAGGGAAAGGAAAAGTTAATGTTGTTCTTGAAATATAAATCCTCATTAGTTATTGCAGGAAAATAAACTAATGAACTCTTGTGTTGTCCTTACTGACCACAAATCATATTTTTAAATCTTTAACATCTGTACCTATATTTTGGAGGTAAGAGTCCAGAAAACACTGCAAATCATCTCTTTCTGGAATGGATGATTTATCTAGAATCACAGACTAGGTCTAGATTTAACACAATTGAGTAACTGCTATTAAACCTAAATAGAGACACCACTGGGAGCTAAGCGCGATTGTTAAGCCTTTCAGTGTGTAGAATTGCCATTTTTAGCTTAGTAACAGCCCATGAAACCATATTTTACCTTTTATAATATTAAATATCATACCTCACTTAGGGTCTTGTTTCTGTCAAAGGTGATAGTAACATAATCAACTATAAAATACAAAGATAGAGAAATTATAAATGACATCAATATTTTTAAAACCAGAAAGGTGGTTAGTGTTAATATTCTCCACAAACATGATAGATGTTATATATCAATTAATGTGTACACAAATCTGCTCTTCTTGTACTTATGCAGATATGTCTCTTGTCTCAAATTTAAATTAGATTTTTCTCAGTTTTAGATAATTAATTTATATGAAACTTATGTTTACATTTTATTCTATTTTATTGTATGCCATTTTATTGAATCCATGTTTTATATATATATATAGATAGAATGATAGATAGATATAGGCCTTCTAATGTATCTTTCACTAAAATTTACCTTCAAAATGTTCTCTGTTAGCAAAACACCTTTCATTATACCATAATTTTCCTTTGACATAGTCAACCTACACAAATAAATAAATAAATGAAAATGTTACTTGGGCAATATGTACAGAATAAAGCAGAAGAAACTTACTAAAAATTTCAGTGTTTGATAGTGCAGGGAAACAAGGCAAATGAATAGAGAAAAATTGTATACAAATTGTTATTGAATGAGGACAAGAAAATAGAGTGTACATTTTGAACAATACATAAAAGGAATAGAAAGAGAAGAAATTGCACGTGAATTAGCATATGTTAATTGAAGATGCCCTCATGAATGAACTGTCCTTCTGAAGCTACTAGAAACCTCTGGCCTTTCATCACAGTTACTGTTGGTCACATGTTTATCTTTTATTCCTCATTAGCTGCAGATGGGCTTTGGGAGCCTTCATAAAAGCCTGACAGTAGGAAATAGCAACAAGTAAAAGGTATTGCAAATTGCTTATAAGAGAAGCTTTAAAGAAAGTGAGATTATGTATGTTGGATATCAATTATATGAAATTTGAGAGGTTTTTGCCACAGGAAAATTCTGACTTTCAAATTATTGTTGAGATATAAAGAAGATTTTCTTACACTTTTATAGACCAATAACAAAATCTGTATAATTTGTACACAAAAGCCTCTTAAATGTTCCAAAATTGATTGTGACGATGAGTATACAACTCTGAATAAACCAAACACCATTGAATTGTACATTTTAAAAGGATAAAGTTTATGGTATGTTAATTATACCTTGATAAAGCTGCTAAACAATCAAACAGGCTTTTTAAGATGAAATGGAAAACAATTTATTTGAATGGTGTTATCATTCAAGCTAAGGTGTTATATCAGATAAAACTTTTGAGTTCTCACATAATTCTTAAGGTTTGCAAGATACCATAATTAACATTATAATATCTGGACAATTAACATGGAATCTTTATCTGGAACTGAACAATTCCTCTTCCTTCTCCTTAGATTCTTTTTGATATTTTTCTACATGAAATCAAACTGATAACACCCTAATGGTTATTTTTAGGGATAATCTAATTCAGATCAATCAGGCTGACCTCATTCCAAGGATGAACTTATGACTCAGAGTCATATATTGTTTAGGAATGAACACATGACCTGAGTCATGTAAAACATGCAAGTAAGTCTTGAGATGCTGGAATGACTTTATTCCTGTTGAGACTGCTTAACAAGTATACATAAACCTGGTGGGTATTCTTGCTAATGACTGGAGAAAACTTAATGAAGCTAATATAAAGGAAAAGCAGAGCCAAAAGTTTGGAGGGTAGAGTCCTGCTAGGCAATGAATTCAGTCATGACTGGAAACCATATTTTATGCCCTCCCAGTTTCCTATTAATATGAGCCAGTAACTTCTTCTTTGCTAAAAATTAGTTTGATATCTGTCATTTGTCTTCAAAAGGCCCTGACTATCTGCATGGAGGAGAAGATTCAACTATCTTGGTGTAAAAATAAATTTTATTGTTTAATTTTGAGGGATACAAAATGATGTGATGGGATACATATAGATAGTAAAATGGTTACTATAGTGACCTTTTTAAAAAAAGCATTTACACTATAACATTGTACCATGTACTGTGCTGAAGTTTTTCATTTGTAATGTTTTAAAACCACCTCATCTCTGAGAGATACATAATATTATGCTCATGTTAAAATGAAGAAACTAAGATCCAGAGAGTTATATAATTTGAGATGCGATCAAGCCATTTTTCCTATTGTCTGGATGCAAATCACTTGGCCTCTTTTTAATATTAATATTTTCAGCAACCATGTTTTTCATGGGCCCAACGTTACAGGTACTTCCTTTCTAATGAAACTGCAAACTTCTCAAATCTTTTAGCTCTGTTTTTCTTCTCCTGATTCTCACTGTTGATCTGTCTAAAAGCAGCCAGCAATACTGATGCCACAGCCTGAATTTTGGGCTGCCCTGAAATTTCTCCAACCAGATTAATTAGTCTATCACCATTACTCTTAGTATCCCACAGAGTCTCAAAGTCTTAGGACATGGGCAATATGTAGACAAACTTGCAATCCTCACTCACATCTGAAACCTTATGAACATTACTTTTACTGTCCACATTCCTATAAACATTCTGGCCTTCTCAGCTCTGATTAGAATCTCTCATCAATTTCTGCTTACAGTATTCTAAGGTTTCTCTAGCCAGCATTTCCAAACTTTCCAAATTCTTCCTGCAAACTAGTTCCAGAGGCTTCTAAATCATATTGTCAGGTACAGGACAGTAATAGCTCTATTTAAAGTACCAACTTTCTGTGTTAGTCAGATTTCCTATCACTTGGACAAAATACCCAACATCTGCAACTTAAAGGAGGAGAGGCTTATTTTCGCTCACTGTTTCAATGGGTTTAGTCCACAGTCAGATGGTTCTAAGGCAGAAATGGCATAGTAGAGGGTATGGAGGAGTAAAGGTGCACAGCATGGTGTCCAGAAAGCAAAAAAAGAAGAAAGGAGCCAATGACAAGAATATACCCTTTTGCTGGGGATGTAGCTCAGTGGTGCAATGCCTGCCTGGCAAGCACAAGGTCCTGAGTTTGATCCCTGGTACCAGAAAAAAAAAAAAAAAAGAAAGGAAAAAAAAGAAAGAAACAAGAATATACCCTTTCATGTTACATCCTCAGTGACCCACCTCCAATCATACTCCATCTCCAATAGTATATTCAACTACTGAACTCATCAATGGATGAATCCTCTCACGAGTATAGTGTCCCCTGAGCCAATCATCTTTCAAACACATGAGACATTTAAAATATGAACTTCAACAGTATCAGTATCCATTTTCTGTTGCTACAAGAGAATATCTGAGTCTGGGTAACTTATAAAGGAATGAGGTTTGTTTGGGCTCATGGTTTTAGAGTCTGGGAAGTCCAAAAGTATGGCACTGGCATCTTTTTCAGCTTCTGGTGAGGGCTTTGTGTTGCTTCGACTTGTGGAAGGAAGCAAAAATGTATAGAAGAGACAAAACATTAGGGACAGCCTTGCTTTGTATCTGCTCACTCCCAGGAGAAAGGCATTAATCCCTCTGATTGACTTAATGGCTCCTTACAGTCTCCTTATCCTACCACCTCCTCCACAATGAACTTGAGTTTCAGAGGGTAAAACCATGTTAAAATCATAGCATCACATAGCCCATGAGAGAGGAGACTCAACTGGGTCTCTTCAGTGGGATTCCTCCAAGTCGAAGTCAAATGATTTCAGCAGTCCTGTAGTCCCAGCACCTTTCTGACTTAATGGCAAATAAACGGGCAATGGAAATTGATAGTTGTGGAAGGGTAGGGAGCAAAACTACAGTTACAAACTCCCCTGTCTCTTCATTTTACTTTTTATGTGATTTAGTTTTAGGTGCACCTTTTGTAATTAGCATATAGCTAATTTTCTTTAGTTTTCAATAATGTTCATTTACATTTATTGTAATTGTTGGTATATTTGGATATATTTCTACCATCATTTTAAGCTTATTTTTCAACTTTTTATTTCCTCTTTTCTGATTGTTTTGTGGAAATGATGGATCACTCTTTAATGATTTTTTTCCTTCCCCTGATTTGGAAGCTTTAGGCTATTTTTCTTTTTCTTTTCTTGTAATTATACCTTAATTATTAATATGTATTTTGAACTACAGTGGTACCTTGGTTTACGAACTTAATTTGTTTTACAATTTTGGGGAAGATGGCTGTGTTTGTGTGGAGAAGATGGCTGTGGTCATGTTTGTCACCCAGTGCAGAGTTTGCAAATGGGAGGAAAATTTTGCCAAACACTGTTGTTTGCAAACTGAATTGTTTGCAAAGAGAAGCATTTGTGAACTGAGGCATTACTGCACGTACTTAAAAAAAACCAAATTCTAAAATTATTTGCCATACTTTTTCCCCCTGAAAAGATCTTAAAATATTTCATTATCCACTGAAAACTATCTCTATTCTTCCTTGTTATATTATCTAGGGTCTTGGTTCCACCTAATTATTAAGCAAAAAATTTAAAATGGTATTTTTCATGCCAGTTTCATTATTCTAACAGATACATACCTTGTATCATGAATCATTCTAGACACTGGGATCTTGTAGTGAACAGCCCAGATTAGGTTCCTGAGCCTAGAGTTAACATTCTAGTTCTTGCCTATTGCTCCTGACGTTCCATTCCTTCATGAATGGGGGGTGAAGTCCATGGGTGGTAATTGCTCCAGAAGACAAATATCTTTATCTGTGAAACTTTATTTTCTTCATCCGCATTCTTGAATGATATAGTTTAGGTAGGTACCAAAATCTATTTTGACAGTTACAGTCTTCTCTCAGCATTTGAAGAAGTTTAGTTTCAGGATACTTAAGTCCCTTATATAAAATATACTTTTATATAATCTATGCACATCCTCCTGTATACTTTAAATCACCTTTAGATCACTCATAATAGTTAATATAATCTAAATGCTTTGTAGTTGTCATATTGTATTGTTTAGAAAAAAAGTCTGTACCTGTTCAGTACAGATGCAGTTTTTCCACTACTAGTTTTGATTTATAGTTGGTTGAGTCCATGGATGCAAATCTGTAGATAGATGGGCCAACTGTAATTCCCTCTGTTCTTTTAAATGTTAATCCATTTTTGCCTAGCTGGCCTTCCAAGTTCTGTTTCATTTTTCTTCCCATTAATATGACAATAAGTCAGTTCAATTTCTTTCCTAGGGAATAAGTGCTCCTTACTTGCAACCATTGTGAACTTGGGTCTAAGTGCACATGCCCTTGTGTGCGCACATGACAGAATGGGGAGGGACACACCAAAGTCTAGAATATTTGTAATTTTGTTTGTAGTATTCAAACTGGCATATGTTGATGAGATTGACCTAGCTTCAGCTAGATTCATCACAAAATTTTACTTCATAACAGAGAAGGCAGATAACTGATGGAACAAAAATCTCTCAAAATGCCAGAAGCGGAGCTATGGCATGATTATATAGCCTTTCTGCGTAAAATAGAAAAAAAAAATCCCTTTTTCCAGTGGGGGCACACCAATAATAAAATAGGTAGACTGGGGAGTAAACTATTAGATTCCAGCTTCTATTTTCTGCAAACAGGTACCTTATGCACAATATGGCCTGAATCATCATAGCAATTCTATATACAGCAAAAGGGATTAGAGTGGCTTTTGAAACAAGGAGGAATGTGTCTTCCTTGAAACCAAATTGCCTAATCATTGCTGAAAGTGCGTGTGTGTGTGTGTGTGTGTGTGTGTGTGTGTGTGTGTATTTTCGTACTGTAAATCATAATAATATTATGGTAAAAGGAATACTCTGTATTGGGGATTATTGTCTTGCGTCTCATCTTCTCAGTCCCCAAGTAAACAAGTATTTTCTAACCAGCCCTTGTAAATCTTCTTACCCTTTCAAAACCACAAAATTCTGCCCTGGAAAGCTAGAAGAGAAAAAACAAAAGAAACTTATTTTTGCTTTATGTCATAGAAGATATTTATGGTTAATGATTAGTTACAAAGTAATTTACATACCTTTAAGTCTTTGGCTGATGGGTAACGAAGATCTCCACTTACAAAAAGACCCAAAGAGGTAAGGAGAACTAGAAAATGATTTGTTAAAACCATATCCATCACTGATAATCCTGTGTATTCTAAAGGAAGAAACCATACCATGGGTTAAAAAGTTAAAAAGTAAGCTTTGTGGGAAAGCAAAGTCATTTCATAAATACTGATCAAATGTTCAGGTACAAGGAGTGACCAAAATATAGAATGAATGTTTAAATTGTAAAAATGTTTTATAGTAAAAGACACATTGCCATTAATGCCCCTCCAAATACGTCCCCTTGCTTCAACACAACTATGCCTTTGTTCTTGACACTTTCTGAAACAGTTCTGGAAGTCCTCTTTCATAGGTATCTTTACCAGGTCTGACGAAAAAATTATGGTGAGTGCTGCTGCCCAGTGTCCTCTAATAGAAAGGAAGCCTTGTTGAAACATTACAGTGTGTCCTCATCTACCTTATTCACCAGATATGGGACCATGTGACTTCTGGCTCATCTCCAAAGTCAAAATGACCATAAAAGGTAAAAGTTTTAAATTGGTTCAGGATATTGAGGAAGCCACAACAGTGCTACTATAGACATTCATGAAAAAGAACTTCAAAAACTACTGCAGAAAGCATCAGGAATGATGGGTCAAGTGTGTTTCATAGTGAAATGCTAAAGCTGAAGGTAGAGGAATTACCTCTTCGAAGGGCTGAATAGATGATATTTGTCATGTTATACCACACCGTATCACTATAATGCCAAAATCCAGATGAGCTGAGGCCTATGTAAACACCTACCAGTAAAGAAAAAGAAAATTAAAGTTTGGCAACTTTGCAGAGCTAATCTCTGATTTCTACAATGTGGGACCTTCAGGAACAAGAGCATGAATCTGCTTCATATTTCTTGCTCCAATCACTGGAAATGAGGAGAGGACACTGTGATGGTTGATTGATTGTATCAACTTGAGTAAGACAAGCTCAATTAAATTGGCTCAGCAATTCCACACCCTACCGTGTGGAAGACCCACCTTAGGACGCTTGCCGGCTGGGCGGTATAAAGGAGAAATGAAGAAGGACAGATCTGCTTCTGTTTCTTTGGACACCATCTCCTGGCCTTCACCTTGGACACCATCTCCTGATTTCCAGCACAGACCCTTCAGCTTGTAGCGCAGATCCTTCAGCCTTCCAGCTTAGTCTCTTCAGCCTTCTATCGCAGGTTCATCAGCCTCTTGATATGGACTTGCATGGGACACTGCAGTGAGCTCCAGACCTTCAACTGAATCCTTCAGTCTCCAGTATGCAGACAGATCCTCTGCACTCTTCTACATCCGATTCTGCGGATGGCCATTGTAAGCCAATCTTGTAAATTCTTATATATTTGTATATCTTGTATTATATCTGTTTCTCTAGTAAATACTGATACAGATACCAAGGCTAGTTTGTATAAATAGATATTACTAAAATAACCCTCCTCTTCTATTAGTTTCCTCATGTATTTCCTAGTGACATCATTACAAGTTATTGTCCCTTGAAGCCCAAACCCTTCCTTTGTCAAAATGGTATATAAACTACAAGTTTAATCATTAGAATTATTTCTTTTCTATGAATTCCTGTTAATGTAAATACTAATAAATATTGTGTGCCTTTTCTTCTGATAATTTATCTTTTGTTAGTTTAATTTTCAAGGGCCCCAATTACTGAAAATAGCAGTGTAGAGGAAATTTTTTTCTCCCTGACAATATTCTTTTAAACATAAAGATGCTTCTAGTTCAGGAGTACAATTTTAGTCAACAGTAGAAGAACCCCAAAGAAGAAAATTAAAATGTAAACTCCAAGAGGGAAGAAACTTTGATTTACTTTAATATTTGCAATTAAAAATAGAAAACTTATTTGCTAAAGCCTCATGAGAACCTTAAAAAAAAGATTAAACATACTGCAAGTACTGAAAGTACTTCATCCCCCAATCTCTGGCCTTCACTGGGATTATTGAGTCTTTTGTATTTTAAATATGGAATGTTAATGTTATATTTTGTCAATGGGCATAACTACTGAGAATGGAGGGTGCTAAAGATACTTGGCAATCGAATGCATATAATTTGTTTCCATAAGATACATATTAGAAAAGTCACATTTTGAAGTATATATTTTAACTCTCAGCTCTTTTCTGTATAAGGAAATACATAAAAAGAAATGTTATTATTGTCTACTTTTTCCAGGAAGAGAAAAGTTAAAGATAAGCTTTGTCTTTCTAAGCCTTATAAGTTGGGATGATTATGGGTGCCCAGCATGATAATTTATGACCAGACTCCTGCAAAGTTTAGAAATATTTAATGGCAAAATAAGAAATAAAATAATATTTTATACTGGTTAATATTTTTAGACCAATCTTAATTTACAGGCCACTCACTATAACAAAGTTGTGATGTCAAAAATTGTCCAAAATTGTATTCCAGGTTTATAAAATTTGATGTAAACCACTGTGAATTTCACTTTTATTTTGATTACAAAGGGAAGCTACTGGAAGCTTTGAAGAAAAGAAGAGATGAGATCTTATTTAAATGAGTAAATTCTTGTACTTCAGAATATCACTTTGATGTCTGTATGGAGATGAGTTGTGGTAGGGCAAAAATGGAAACAGGGAGACTACTTAAGAGGCTGTGGAGCAGTAACAGATATATTGCTAAGCTGACATAAGATTTTAACAGAGGGAGAAATGGTTACGTTGGGGATAGACTCTGGCAGTAGTATTATTCTTTTTAAAAAAATATTCTTTCTTTTAAAAAATAAATTTATTTCCCATTCCTCCCTGAAACCCCCTCCCCTCCTTATGTACAAAAGCTTTGTAGTATTATTCTTGAATACTGTGAGAGAGCAGTGAAGAATGTGTACTGTATTTTAATTTGACTAACTGGGTGCTACTGAGGTAAGGAATAGTGGATAGAAGCAACTTGTAGAAGGTGATGACTCAAGAGTTCATTAGACCTGAAGAAGAAATGCAAAACAGATCAGCCATATAGATTTGGGAATCATTAGCCTGAAGACGGCATTATTACCATAAAATTCAATTTAGTCTTCTAAAGAGAGAATATGTTTACAAAAGGAAAGAGAATCAATGTCAAAACTCTAGGTTCATCAACATTTAGAGGTCACCAAAAAGTAGTCAGCCTAGAAAACTAAGAAGTGATCAAGTAAGTAAAATAAAAGCCAGTGAAGGTGGTGACAAGAAAGCCAAGAGGAGAAAGTATTTTGAAGAAAGAGCAACCAATTGTTTTAATGTTGCTGGGAGGGTAAGTAGAATAAAGGTAAAAGAATTGGATGTTGGAATTGGCAATATCATGATCATGTGTGATCTTGAGAAGACTGTTCAGGTAGATTGGCAGAATTGATGTGTAGTGGAAGATAAACTTGGAGGTGAAAAACTAGCACCATCTACAATAAATTCTTGCCATGAATTTCATTTTGAAGAACAGAGGAACGGAGGATGGGAGTACAATGACACAAATATTTTAAGATGGGGATATTGGGGTGGGTTTGTTGGTTAGAATGTTAATGAATAAGATCTAGTAAGGAAGGAGAGTGTGGTGATGCAAGAGAAAAAGGAGAAGTACAGGGCAGATGCAAGAGCAAAGTTCTCCAGATACCTGGGAGGAATGGAATCCAAGACACAAGGGGTGAGGGGTGGCCTTTGATAGTAGCACAGACACTTCTGATAATGAATGCATGAAGCGAAAAAGCAACACATGCAAACATGAATGCAGGTAGGGTGACAACTTGCAGGTACAACAACAAAAAAGTTCCTTGTGGTAAATCTTCATTGTTTTCTATGAAGTATTAGGTAAAGACACAGCTAAGAGTGAGAGGGGAAGAAGGTTAAGTAGAGTATTTGAGGAATGGGGAGAGAAGTGATAAATTCATCTTGAAGAGTAGGAAAATAAATATACCAGGGAAAAGTGAAAGAATGTCTAGCCAGTACTGACCGTCCCTAAGATCTATAATCATGAAGTGAGACCAGTTGGTGGAGTTTTAAAGTGAGACTAGTGAGTATTTATTTTCTAGCAATGCTGTACTCTTCTCTTCAGAAGAACAGATGGTCTTAATTAGAGTTGGTTGTGCAAGGAAGAAAGAGAAGGGCAGAGACATCACAGAGTATGTATAAAGATGGAGCATAAAAATTATGATGAGAGAAGAGGAAAATAAGAATGTTGGGTCGCAACAGTACTTAATTCAGGTAAAATTTCATTTAGCCACTGAGTACCCTGAGTGATTTTGCTTTGTTGTTGTTTTTAAATGATGCCTTCTCCCTGTTTTTAAAGATCACTTACAACAACTTTTTATGGAGCTTATTTGTTCTTTTGAAGTTTGACAAATGTAATCTGTTAGAGAAAGAAAATTGCCTCACATGGCCTTGAGAAAGAAGCCACATTGAAGTTGTCATTTTGAGTTAGGGATGATATGATCCTTTGATTCAAATAATAAGAGACTTCTTTTAAAAACACACAACAAAATAAAATACAGCATTCAGATAGCCATGCAGAAAATCCTCAACAAAATATTAGCAAATAGAATGCAGCACAGTAGCAAAATAATCATACATCATGAATAAGTAGGTTTCATTCCAGAGATGCAAGGATGGTTGAACATACCTAAAGCCTATAAGTGTAATACATCACATAAAGAGGAGCAAGGTCAAAAACCACATGGTCATATCAATGGACACAGAAAAAGCTTTCCACAAAATCTAACACCCTTTAATGATAAAAACCCTGAAGGAAACAGGCATAGATGTATTATACCTGAATATGATAAGGACTATTTCTGACAAACAAATAGCCAGCATCATACTAAATGAAGAAAAACTAAAAGCATTTCCCTAAAAATCAGGGACAAGACAAGGTTGTCCACTATCAGCTCTACTACTCAACACATAGCACTTGAAACATTAGCCAGAGCAATTAGGAAGAGAAAGAAAAAAAAGCAGATACACATAGGAAAGGAAGAACTAAAATTATTATTTACAGATGACACAATACTCTACACAGAAGACTCAAGGAACTGCACCAAAAAACTCTTAGAATTAATAACCAATGTCAGCAAAATAGCAGGATATAAGGTCAACACACAGAATCACTAGCATTTCTGTTCATAACAATGAATGAGATGAAAAGGAAATTATGAAAATAATACCATTTAGAGTAGCTTCAAGAAAAATTAAATATCTAAGAATTAACCTAAAGAAGCGAAAGTCCTCTACAAAAAAAATTACAGTACTTTGAAGAAGAAGATTGAAGAGAATACTGGAAAATGGATAGATGTCCCCTTCTCCTGGATAGGAAGAACCAACATTGTCAAAATGGCCATAATTCCAAAACTGTTACACAGACTCAATGCAGTTCCAATTAAAATACCAACAGCATACTTTACAAATCTAGAGAAAACAATCCTAAAATTCATATGGAACAGAAGAGACCCAAAATAGCAAAAGCAATTTTGGGCAATAAGAGTAAATCAGGCTGCATAGCAATATCAGCCTTCAGGCTACACTACAAAGCAATAGTGATAAAAATGGCATGGTACTGGAGCAAAAAAGACATATAGATCAACAGAACAGAACTGAGGGTACAGTAATCTCCCCAGACGTATTCAACTATTTGATCTTTGACAAAGGGGCCAAAGAAAGTTGGCCCCTTTGTTGGAATAAAGAGAGCCTATTCAACAAGTGGTGTTGTAAAAACTGATTATCTGTTTGTGGAAGAATGAAAGTGGACCTTTATCTTTCACCATGTATTAAATTAAA